TTTGGGAAAATCGTGTTGTTCTTTGACCATTTCTACCCTAATTCGTATATAAACTGCTGGAGCATACATACTAACACTGTGCTGACTCATGTCCTCTGGTGTGAATCGATCAACTTCATTTTCCAGGAGCTGCGTGACATTCTATTGAATGATGGAGCCCGCTGTGTTCTCGATGACGATCGGAAGAAAAGACCGGGATTCAAATTTACCAAATGGGTAGGATAGTCGTTCTCTCTGTGATGCACATACGGTGCTTCTTCAGGACCTCCAGGGTGTTCCACTTAGTATTAGAATCGGCAGCAGAGAGGTTGAAACGAATACGGTTACTCTTGCGTATAGACACACTGGTGAAAAGGTTAATGAACACCTATCATGCTGCGGCAAGGTAGAGTTATGTGTTTGACTGCAGCTCCGACTATCGCCTTAGATACGTCTCTATCTGGACCGAATTAGTTCGGAGATGTTATCAGCTGCACGCCGCCCTCACTGATAATCACGCAGTTGACATAATTCAATTTGACTACACTCGTTTCTCACTGTCTATTGTGGTCTTCGTTATTATGAGTGCATGGGGAGGTTGACGCACTTGGATTCTTCGTAACATAGAGTGATTGCCATCAGAGTCTCTTCCGACCGCAGTCAGTGGGATTCAGTGAAACCTAGTCGAAAGCCGCTCCAGAGAAGGCTCATTCACTTCTGCGGCAGAAGTACTGACCGCCGGTCAGAGTTGCACTCGTAATACGAGTCTCGTATGGCTTCTTCTGATGAGGTCGTAAGAAATTCTATGGGGAGTGTTCTGTCCCTTGTGTTTATGAATTGTACACGTAGGTTGAGCTCGCTATCCTGAAAATAGAAGCTGGAATGTAAACTGATCGGAGAGCTTTGATTGAGCAGCAAAATGAAGTCGACAAATTGAGAGCTTGTCTGGAAACGGAGAAGGTACTTTAGCGAAATACGCATTCGGGAATATCACCTATTCTGTCGAGGGAGGAAGTGAGAAATAGCTGAGGTAGGTTCGTCTGGGGGCAGTACACAACACACATCTGAGTACGGGGCAGCAGCTCTTGACCGCCGAGCGGGAAAGGGACGCCCTCGCAGTTCAAGTGGAGCAGTTGCAGGAATCGCTTGCAGAAGCTCGGAGACAGAGTCGGCTGTTGGAGGTGAGGATATCGAGACAACAGCAGATTTATGAGCTGTGTTGCAGGCTACGATCGAGAATGATCGAAGGGCTGTTGATAAAATGGAGCACGAGCTGTCGTTGACGAATATCAGACTTCAAGTCTGAGACTTGGAAAGAGCAACTAGCAACACCCCGAGGTGTCGTCGATGCGGCATCTGGTTCCAATTTGGAACTTCTAAACGAGAGATTGTTGAGCTCAGTTCGCTTGAGGAAACGAGAGGTCGACCTCGAGAGGCGCGAGATTCCTGTGAAGGATCGGATACTATTGGAACTAGAGTCGGAACGAGAATCTCTGAAGGAGAAGGTGAAAGGGGGTAGGTGATCCTGCGCCGCGTAGGGAAGATATCCCGCGTCCCTGCTTGGGGATCCCTGGAATTTGAGCTTCCTAGGGGATCCCTGTTCGTCGCAAAGTTCTCAATTTCGTGGAGTCTGAGTATACCGAATCGATTGGTGGCGCGGTTTCTCGTCCCTCGACTGTCACTTGCGCTATCCAGTCCAGCAGTGACAATCCGGCCTCCTCCCAATGCTATTGCATTGATGGGGTGGGGCGAGTGGGCGTCGAGCCTCCACAGGATTTTGGGTTCGGTCATTTGTATTGTCGGCAGGGAGTAACCAATCAGTCTCCCGGTCTCGGTGCCAGCGTGGAAGTAGTAGCCGCTCGGTGATGCTGAGCCATTGACGATGCCAGCGCAGCCCGAGTATCACCGATCGCCGAGCTCGGGCGCTTCGCTATCAAGTAAGTCATTCCAAATGAAGGTGATTACCCCATGTGGCCAAGCCAAACCAATAAGAGGCTTATCTCCGAGATTCAGTCTCACCCACGATGAACTGCTTAGCTGTCTCGACTGAAACAATCACTCGTACATTTACTGGTGAGGTCTCTCTCATTCTGCACTTCCATCTGCGATCATCTTTTTCCGTTTTTTTATGTAACATACGACGTATGTCATACGTTGTGTAGTTAGGCAGGCACCATAACCTAGCCTTTCAAGTAAGTGAAGGTTAAAAATTATTCAGTCTCATCCTCGAGTAATACGTATAACTTGAATAATACGAACACTTTGAAAGCTGCCGACGAAAAGACCGACACTTCGACTGTCGCTCAGTCTCCCTCTTCGGAGCCTCGATGGCCACGTCAGAAAGACGACTCTGTCCGAGATTTACTAACGATCCACGTATGTCATCGCTGCCAGCGATGACATACAGCGCCTCCCTCAGCCAGCGATTCGCTGGCTGACTGCTCAAACTGTCGTGCCTTATTGATGCGATACGGCAAATGTGGTGCGATGATGAGTACGCAATATTTATTCACGATTCGCGTTGATCGACATGTATATCGCATACGTTAATAACACTGTTACTAACTAGTAATACTAAGTAACATCAGAACGGATTCAAGTTGAATCATTCAACTAGTACAAAGAGGCTGTCATATACTATCGGTCACTGTGGGATTAACAGGGGCCCCCCGTTGACTAACACTACTCGGAAGTGCCATTTGGACTCAAAAGCAGAACTACTCAGACTCATAATCTCTTATGTAAACTTAACCCTCATCCTAAGAACTTGAATCGTCGTAAAAAGGGGCCATCCGGCCATAGCGAGATCGACCTGATGAGCACGGTACGCGTACACAAGCACGCATGCGAAACGAAAAGCGAGCCGCTCTACGATGGAGCTGGCAAACATGGTGTAGTCTGCTGTAATCGACCATCCTCTACTCTACAGTTACTACACGGCAATGTAGAGAATTACCTTGAAATCGATATTACGACGCGAAAATTCCGTTTATAATCGAGGAGCATAATGCACGCGATTCGCGTCCAAGCCGGAGGTTGAAGATGTCAATGTCCTTTAATACAGACAGAGTCCTTCACCGAGCCTGGGAGAACGGGAATCACCTCACGATAGGAGAGGATATTGCACGGACCTGCATAGGATGTGCAGCCCTCGGGTACAAAATGCGCGCGGTTTAAGATATGCATTACCTGGGTGGTTTCCGCTTCGCTCGATATAACCGAAGCCTTTCATTCCCCAAGACTCCCCCCAGGTGTTCATGATTTTCCAATACCTAAGGCCGAATTCATCACCAGGAAATACAGTGGTACTTACGGTTTTCCTTCTGAAGAAGTGCCATACCCAACGATGATGACGTTATGGTTCGGAGCCAACGCTTCACAATCCTTGGCTACAAGGTTGAGCGAAGATATGCTTGACAACTACTCGAGTGGGCTCCCACTTGTTATGATGCCTCCCTTGTAATGTACAAATGCGGGAGTCGAAGCATATATTTTGGCTCCTACGGGTCCGGTTGCCACACCGCTTATCATAGCTGCTTCATTTGCTGCTGGTATGGTCGTCGTTTGAGTAGCTTGCTCAGCTGAGAGATCAGAAAAGCTCAAACGGTTCGGGTCGAATCTTGTTTGCTAGTTGGC